TATATTTTTGATATTTATTTTATATATTTAAATGCCATTTAACAAAGAAAAATCAACCCAAAAAATGAATTCGCGTGTCACCTCTGACACGCGTGTCATAGGTTCGCCATCACTGTCCTAGGGCCCTGGTGGCGGTCTTAGCAGCACAGTCCTCAGGTTGTAGGCGTAGGGGTCGGGGTGAAAAGGCCTGACCAGCCCCTCATCCAGAAGCGAATCTTCTTGGGGTCCCTGTCTGTGCCCCTCACAGCGGATCGTGCCCAGCAGGCGCGGCTCGGGGACCTGCCTCCCCCACAGGGACCACCAATTGGGGGCTGCCTCTGCGCCCTGCCTTCTGGCTCCCTTCCCAGCACATCTGGGGGGGTCTCTCGAATGGCGCCCTGAACAGACTGAGGGCTTGGTTTGTCGTGAGGCCCATGGCCGATCTAAGGACTGCAGTGCCCGCTCCCGGGTCTTCCCGGGGAATGAGGACGGTCACACGGTGTCCGAAGCCCCTGAGCTGCGGTGGGTGTACCGTGAGGGCTTCTGACTCTGGCCAGGCCTCCCATCCCCTTTTTTCTTTGTCTTCTACTTTCTCCTCATCTTCCTATCTCTGCTCTTCATTTCTGCACTTGTTCCTTTCTTTCCTCTTTCTTTCTCTCCCTCCTCACCTCCCTCCTTCTCTTCTTCCCTCTTTTTTAAGTAATTCTTTGAGTATTAGAGCAATGGAGGAGATTATTTTAAAAATCAAGATATAGAAATTTTTTGATATTTGCAACCATAGTAAAACAAAGATGTATATTTTTGATATTTATTTTATATATTTAAATGCCATTTAACAAAGAAAAATCAACCCAAAAAATGAATTCGCGTGTCACCTCTGACACGCGTGTCATAGGTTCGCCATCACTGTCCTAGGGCCCTGGTGGCGGTCTTAGCAGCACAGTCCTCAGGTTGTAGGCGTAGGGGTCGGGGTGAAAAGGCCTGACCAGCCCCTCATCCAGAAGCGAATCTTCTTGGGGTCCCTGTCTGTGCCCCTCACAGCGGATCGTGCCCAGCAGGCGCGGCTCGGGGACCTGCCTCCCCCACAGGGACCACCAATTGGGGGCTGCCTCTGCGCCCTGCCTTCTGGCTCCCTTCCCAGCACATCTACAGGGGGGTCTCGAATGGCGCCCTGAACAGACTGAGGGCGTGGTTTGTCGTGAGGGCCATGGCCGATCTAAGGACTGCAGTGCCCGCTCTCGGGTCTCCCCGGGGAATGAGGACGGTCACACGGTGTCCGAGGCTCCTGAGCTGCGGTGGGTGTACCGCAAGGGTCAGGAGGCGGATTACGCTTCTGACTCTGGCCAGGCCTCCCATCCCCTTTTTTCTTTATCTCCTACTTTCTCCTCATCTTCCTATCTCTGCTCTTTATTTCCACACTTGTTCCTTTTTTTTTCCTTCCATCCCCTTTTTTCTTTGTCTTCTACTTTCTCCTCATCTTCCTATCTCTGCTCTTCATTTCTGCACTTGTTCCTTTCTTTCCTCTTTCTTTCTCTCCCTCCTCACCTCCCTCCTTCTCTTCTTCCCTCTTTTTTAAGTAATTCTTTGAGTATTAGAGCAATGGAGGAGATTATTTTAAAAATCAAGAAGTTTGGCCACACTGTTAAGGTGTTCTGTAGGTAATGATAATAATGATGGTGGTGGTGGTGATGATGATGATGATGAAAAAGTAAAATGCACGGCAAATGGGAGAATTAGCACAAATTAGACACGTCGATGGCCTTAATATACAAAAAGCAATTGCAAATCAATAAGAAACACTGGCCCTTGATAGATAAATGGGCAAAGGATTCAAACGGAAATTAATACAAATCAGATACAATTTGTTTCCCATCAAAGGGGGCATTTTTAAAGGTAATACACAGGCTATGTGAGAGTGTGATGAAATACACCCTCCCTCCCTCCATCAGCTATTCGAGTGGCTCCTATGAGGGTCAGGCAGGCACCTTGGTGGGCCCTGAAAACGTTTAAATTCTGAAGAGCCAAACATTTGACTGCCCTCAACCTGGAGTGAATCCTTCTCAAATCCCCTTCCCTCCCTTGCTCCTGTTTCTCTCTTTCTTCTTCTTTCTCCTCCTCCTTTTTCTCTCTCTGGCTCCCTCTCTTGCTTCCTCTTCTTGCTTCCTCTCTCCTCTCTGTTTCTTTCTCTCTCTCTCTCTCTCTCTCTCTCTCTCTCTCTCTCTCTCTCTCTTCTTTGTACTCCTTTCCTTCCATTCTTCCTCCATTCCTTCCATTTTCTATCTTTTCTCTCTGTTTATTACTCTCTCAATCTCTCTCTCCCCCCTCCTCCCTCCATCCCTCCTCCCCCCACCCCGTCTCTCTTCCTCTGTCTCTTCCTCTCTTTCCCTCCCCCCACCCTGGCCCATATCTTTGGGGGATGGGAGCCCACCACCTACCCAGCCTGCGTGTGGCCTGGAGAAGGCAGACTCTCCACCATGTGCTCCGGCCTCAGGAGACCCCGCCCCCTCCTTGTCCTGACGGGGAAGTGGTCTTCATGACAGGGCGGGCCGCTCAGGTGGGCACCCGTCCCCCCTCCTCAAGCCCTCCAGCATGTCCGCTGCCCAGCAGCTCCAGGGTCCATTTGGGGGCAGGAAGGGGGAGGCCCTGTCAGTCACACCCATCTGTTCACACACAGCCCTGGGCTGCCAGCTGTGCCCTGGGTAGTGGGTTTGCCCTCCGTGGCCACCTCTGGGTGTGGCATAGCAGAAGTGATGTCTGTTCAACTCACCCTGGCACTTCCTCCCTGACCGCTGGTGAAGTTCACACACAGCCCTGGGCTGCCAGCTGTGCCCTGGGTAGTGGGTTTGCCCTCCGTGGCCACCTCTGGGTGTGGCATAGCAGAAGTGATGTCTGTTCAACGGACTCTGGCACTTCCTCCCTGATGTGTCCACCTCTGTCCCTGAACTTGACCCTCACAGTTTGGGGAAGGGGAGGCCTTCAAAAGGCCTAGAAACAAACCTTCCGGCCACAGAGCTTGTGCCATGACGGACTGAAGTTTGCAATAAGCTGTTTCTGGGCTCCTGGACTCAGAAAGAGGCCCCCCTCTAAGCCAGCCTCATCTGCAGAAACCAAGTTATTTTTCCACCAAAAATCAATCAGCGGATGATTCTTTGTGCTGCAAAGGAATCTGCCACAGCGAGCGGGGTTTTTTTTATTGTTTGCGTTTTCTTTCCCAATGTAGTCATACGAAGGCATTCTAAATGAGCCTGCAGACATTGGCAACATATTTGTAGAGTCAACCTGCTAGCTTATGTCCTTGAAAATACCTACTTAATTTTTTTTTTAATCCCTCTGCAAGGAAAGGGTCCGGACAGAGACCCGAGGCCATCCTGTGAGCCTCGGGGGGCTCGTCGCTATCACAAGAACTGGGGGGTGCAAGATTTTGCCTGGGGAATCCTGACAAATGCCAGGGACTCTCATGAGGTATTGGGAGGGCTGACAGTTACGGAAGTGCCTGTTCACGACGGGCGTAGGGACGGGAGAGCTAGACCCTGAGACCCCGACCCAGACACGCCCTCCCACCTCACGGCCAGGAATCCATCTGGTGCTGCCGCTCCTCCACATCAGGGCTGCAGGCCCGGCACAGCTGTCCAAGCACCTTGATCAAGCCACTCCTGCATGCCCGCGGGGCCAGGTTGCCCAAAAGCTAGCGAAGGAGCCCTCAAGCTGCTCCTTTTCACCCCAGAAAAGCTTTAGAATCCTCCCGCTGGCTGCAGGTTTCTGACATTTCTTGCCCAAGAAGGTCTCTTGCTCTACGAGGACTTAGTTTACTGTCTTTCTTCTTACCAGATAGATGTCCTTTTGGCGGGAGTAGAGTCTGCTCTGAGGCCCTCAGCCCGAGTACCCAGCCCCAGGGTCCTTTGCTTCTTTTCTTTCTGGCCCTTTAACTTGCTTTCTTAGTCCCGTGTGCCTCTCTCCTCCTCTCCTCAGAGACAAGGCTGAGACCCGCCTCCCCCCCACCCCCACCGCAAGTATTAGATTAACCTTATTGTTTTAGAAAAAGGTTCCTGCAAATGTCTGATTTCTCTCTAGATGTTCAAGTCCATTAGCCTCTTTGTGCCTCAGTTCCCCCATAAAATCCAGAATCTTGACTTGGTAATAATGATACTAAACAGCCTCCATTTATGTCACCTTCATAACCACCCCCTGTGGGAAGCTCTTCGTGCTCCCATTTCGTAGATGAGGGAACTGAGACCCGGAAGGAAATGAATCTCGCAAGATCACGAATCGAGTTTCACGGTCAGATTCAGGGGTGCTGCCCGGCTCCCAACCCCGATCGCGAGGGCTTTCCGAAGCTGGCACGGTCCGTTGGTAGCCCAGCCAGCCTGGGTTCCCGGAGGCCCCGACTGGCCCCAGAAATCCAGGGGAAGAGGCACGAGGCTGTTCCCTTCCTTGTGGAAAGGAATCTTGCTGTTCTGGCCTTTTGGGGTGGAAGCAAGGATTCTGCTGCGGGGCTGTGACTGTGGCCCCGTCGCAATATGAAAACGATCCCTGTGGTCCTCCAAGGGATGTGTCGAAGCTCTCCTGACAGGCTCCACCCTCCTGCACCTTGCCCAAATACCTGTGTGTGCATCCTGCTCCATCCACTGACCGTGTGCCATGTCCATGTGACCACATTAACGCACCATCTCATGAGCCATCACGCCTAACATCATGCTCCGTGCCCATGCATCGAGGCGGGCAACTGACATTTCTCAGCAGCTGGCAGATCACGATCCTGCCCTCACTGCCAAGAGTCCATCTGGTGCTGCCACTCCTCCCTCAGGGCAGCCCGGCACAGCTGGTGGAGCGCCTTGATCAAGCCGCTCCTGCATGCCGAGGGGCTGAACTGCCAGGAAACCAAAGAAGGAGCCCTCAGACTGCCACTTTTTTAATCCCCATTCTCAAAACAGGCCCCCTCCCCCTTGAAGGCGTTATTTTTTTCTTGCGTGTGATGAAACAGAAAGATTAGAGTGCAAGATAAAACAGGCCCCCTCCCCCTTGAAGGCGTTATTTTTTTTCTTGCGTGTGATGAAACAGAAAGAAGATTAGAGTGCAGGAGGTACACACCTGGGTTTAAATCTCAGTCTGCTGCTCCCCACCTAGATGACCTGGGGCAAGTCACTCTCCCTCCCTGGGCCTCAGCTTCCTCATCTGAAAAACGGGCATAAAGGTATCATCTTCCTGCAGGGAGATGCAGAGACATTTAGACGAGTCGCATGTTACACGTACAGTCAGCATGTTTAGTAAAAGTCACTGCCAACGAATGACTCCTTCCTAATCTATAAAGGAGAGTCTACCCCAGCCGTGGGCAAACTACGGCCCGCGGGCCGGATCCGGCCCGTTTGAAATGAATAAAACTAAAAAAAAAAAAAAGACCGTACCCTTTTATGTAATGATGTTTACTTTGAATTTATATTAGTTCACACAAACACTCCATCCATGCTTTTGTTCCGGCCCTCCGGTCCAGTTTAAGAACCCATTGTGGCCCTCGAGTCATAAAGTTTGCCCACCCCTGGTCTACACACTTCCGTGTGCGCAGCAATTCCTAGATACTTTAAGGTTTGAGAACCACTGAGCTCATGGGACAGGGTGGGGGGAGAAGAAACCCAATGGGAGCATTTGTAGGCATTTAAGCCTTTTTTTTTTTTTAATAGCACTCACTTCCTAAGGGGTTATGGGTGGAACATTCTCTAGAGCAGTGGTTCTCAACCTTCCTAATGCCGAGACCCTTTAATACAGTTCCTCATGTTGTGGTGACCCCCAACCATAAAATTATTTTCGTTGCTACTTCATAACTGTAATTTTGCTGCTGTTATGAATCGTAACGTAAATATCTGATATGCAGGATGTATTTTCATTGTTTGCGACCCACAGGTTGAGAACCGCTGCTCTAGAGGCTCTGCTTGCCAGTGGGGTGTCCCCCCCCGCCCCCGTTCTGCTGGCGGCTGAGTTTTTCTCAGCCGGCTCTGCAGTCCTGGAGGGAGGGCTGCAGGAGGCCAGGGGCTCAACTCCAGGCCCGAGTTTTCTCAGAGGACTCGGAGTTGCCTTTCATGTCACCCCGTGACGTAGTGGATAAAGCCGCGAGCGTAGCTCCTGCCCGCTGAGCACCAGGGTCCCCGATGCCTGTTTTACAGACGAGGATGCTAATGACAGCAGAGCTGGGATCTAAACCCAGGACCCCCAACTCCAAAGCGCGGGACCTCGACGGCATTCCGAGGCCTCCCGGCGCCAGCACCTCTGGAGAAAGGCTGTTTCTCCAGCTCTTGGCAGTGACCTTCGGTGGCAGACTCGCCTTTGGTCATCGATGACTGCCTGGCTGCCCTGCTACTTGGAAATTTGGCTTCTTGGTGTCCTTGGGCAGTGCCAGGGGCCTGCCGAGTGCAGGGGGCCGCACGGGGGGCTCCCTGATGGAAGGATGGACATCGGCCGGAGCCGCGGGCCTGAGGCTGCCCTCCGGTGCTCGGGCGGGGCAGGGGGTTCTCAGGTGTGTGTGCGTGTATGTGCGTGTTCTGTGTTCTCTCTTCTGAGGCCGCTTACGATCTGTCTCTCCCTCCGACGCCACCTCACCAGGAGCAGTACACGGTAAAGTCTCTCTCTCTCTCTCTCTCTCTCTCTCTCTCTCTCTCTCTCGTCTGCCTCTCGTTCTCCATGCTCTGGTGCAGCCGTGTTGGTTCTGGGCCTGTTTCCACGGCCTGTGTCCGTGCTGCTGTCCTGTCGCTTGCAGTGACCAGAGACCCCCTCAGCCTGCTCCCCGGAGAGGAGGAGCCCTGAGGGGTCTTGGCCGCTGCCTCCCACCATGACCACCGTTGGCTCAGTTCTGGGTGGAGAACAGGAGGGGTGGGGGGACCTCCCGGGGTCTGGTTGCGATACGGCCTTTGGCCTGGGTGGTAGTTACCCGAGGACTGAGAGTGTCCACCTCCCCGGTGAGAAGGAGGAGCAGGCCAAACAGCTGGACTTGGGCTCTGAGAGGAGAAAGCCCCTCCCCCCAGGTGTGTCTACACGTCCAGCAAAGTGGTTCCAAAACCGGGGCGTTCTCTGTAAGAACGCCTGGATCAGCCTGCCCCGGAGCCCAGCTGCCAGGGACACGCCACTCAGCGCCTCAGTCACAGGATGGCTTCTCAGCCTCACCCGGGGGCGGGGTGTCTCCTGGAAGAGGGGCCCGCACAGGGGGCATGGAGTTGCTTTCAGATGAGCAGATGCACTCCAGGAAGCATGTCCCCCATGTCAACCATTCACATACTATGGGGCACAGCCTTGAGGCAATAATGGTGACTTTGGTTTAAGAGAGAAAACACATGGTCCGGCCGATGTGGCTCAGTGGTTGAGTGTGGACCCATGAACCAGGAGGTCACTGGTTTGATTCCGTCAAGGACACATGCCCAGGTGGCGGGGCTCGATCCCCAGTAGGGGGCGTGCAGGAGGCAGCCGATCAGTGATTCTCTCTCATCATTGATGTGTCTGTCTCTCTCTCCCTCTCGCTTCTTCTCTGTAAAATCAATAAAAAAAAAAATTTTAAAAGAGAGAGAGAGAGAAACACATGTTCAGGCTGCTGAATCCTGGGGCATAAGAGATGTCCAGTTCTCTTTATTCCCTGAAAAAGGAGAGAGGGAGCTCTAAAAACGCAAATGGTGTGAAGAATGACGCTCTTGCACCTGGATACTCAGACACCCCGTGGTGGGGTCTGTGGGAAAGCTCTGATAGGAAGATGGTTGCTAGGAGACTGACACCCCGTCCCAAAGAACTCTGATCTGAATCCACATGTGTCCCGAAACCACAGGCCAGATGTATGCTGGGCGCTGAGACAAAAAAACAAGACTACAGGGGAAATGAACACAGAGAAGAATAAATCGCAGCTTAAGCCTTTGAGAAATGTTCGTCTAAAGCCAAAAGCAAAGACAGAAAGATGGTTCTGAAACAGCACTGGGGTCTGGCAGAACCCAGAGGCAGCCGGGAGACGGGGGGCGGGGCGGGGGGTTGACCCTGACCTTCAGGGCTTCGTGGTCCTGTGGCTGGAGATGTGCAGGGAGGGCATTCCCAGCAGCGGGAACAGCATGTGCAAAAGCTGACAGAGGCAAGCGTGTGGCAGGGGGTGGGAAGTGCAGCATGGGGGATGCAAAGGTTAAGGTGAGTTGGACGAGATTTCAAAGAGCCTTGAACGCCACACTTCTCGGAATTCAGATGCTCCAGGGGGATTCTGAGCAGGAGAGGGAGGTGGTCATTGGCTTTGACCACTGAGTGCAGAAAGGATGGCAGAAGAGAGAGACAGGGAGTGGGGGGGTTGGGAGATGGGTAATGGGGGTCCAACCTAAGCCGGTGGCTGGGGACAGATGGTGGAGATTTGTAGGAGGGCGGCCCACTGCGGGTGGGGATGGAGGACAGGAAGTTGGACGTGACTCGCAGGTTTCTGGCTTGGGCGACTGGGTGGGTGGTGTGTACCATTCACAAGCCTCTGGTGGCCGCACCCAGTGTCCTCCTTGGGGGCCCGAGTCCTGGTTGGCTAAGGGTGTCATGGCGTCCCCAGAGTCTACGCTGCTAAGGCTCACACCCAGTGGACCAAACCCCGGACTCAGGGAATATTGGGGGTAGGGGTGTTGGTTTGAGGGCCGCCTTAAGCATTTCCTAAATCCTGTTGGAGGGGTGAAAAAAATCTTATTTTCTGAGAGCTTGCCAAGGCCACCTCCAAAGAGAACCCAGGGCAGCCGGCTCCCCTGTGCGGGGTCTGAGGCCACCGCAGGCAGCTGCTCAGGCCCGGGCAGATGGTGAGGGGACTTCAACAAGCCTGACCCAGAACCACAAAAGGCCATCTGCTCAGGGGCTCTCCAGCCCCGCCCAGCAGGGAGCTGGGCCACTCCTCCCCAGCAGGGGCAGGGCTGTGCCAGGCTCAGCCCGGGCTCCAGGGTGGGCTTGTGTGGAGCTGCGGGCCACCCACCACCCAGCCTGACCTCCGCCCCCTCTGTTCCCTTCTCCTCACCCTCACATCCCTCCACAGTGGCAACAGCAAAGGAAAGGACATCAACACAATCAAATCCCTCCGCGTCCTCCGGGTGCTACGACCTCTTAAAACCATCAAGCGGTTGCCAAAGCTCAAGGTGAGACGGGGCGTGCGGGAGGCCTGGCAGCGTTGCCTGTGCAGGTGGGCAGGGTGCACACTGCCCAAGGATGCGACATTGAAGGGGATGCTGATAACAGGGCCGTTATATATGGATATTTTTATTACCACCGCTTTCCAGCAGGTGGCAGTAAAGTGGTTGATCTAACACAATCCATGAACAGTATCATGACAATTTTCCATTAGATGAAACATCTCCCTGTGGGAGGGTCGGAATCCTTTTTTTTCTTTTCTTTTTTTTTTCTTTTTTTTTAATATATTTTTATTGATTTCAGAGAGGAAGGGAGAGGGAAAGAGAGAGAGAAACATCAGTGATGAGAGAAATCATTGATCGGCTGCCTCCTGCATGCCCCCTACTGGGGATCGAGCCCACAACCCGGGCATGTGCCCTTGGCCGGAATCAAACCAGGGACCCTTCAGTCCAAAGGCCGACGCTCTACCCACTGAGCCAAACCGGCCAGGGCTCCCTTTTTCTAATTCACGTGAAGGCGTCCTGTGGATAAAACGGGGTATGGTCCCTCATAACCTTTGACTTATCGCCGACCTTTCCTGGGCTCCAATATATCCTGTTCCAAAATCTCATGACCCAGCATTCCCCGAAAGCTTATCGTCCAAAATGAAGAAAAGAAACGAAACCTCGTCACTTGAGCACATCTTTGCAATGTAGGCTCCACCTGAGGGAGGGCGTTGTCTCTTCATGTGTAAGTCCAGTCACTTTGTCTTTTACTCACGTGGATTTATTTTGCAAGGACGTCCTATGTCCAGTTTCTCACATTGGAAAACCAGAACCCACTGTTAACCGAAGGTAACACTAAGTATCTGTTCAACCAACTTCAGATGCTGCTGTGAAAATCCAGCCGAACACTGTTGTCTGACAAAGGCTTTGAACGCGGATGCTGCTCTTTCTTGGTTAAAAGGAAAAGTAGCAACGTTAGGAGCTAACATAGCAGCAACTAAGGAAGACTCTCTCCTTCCCCCGCAAAGACTGAAGGAGAATGGGAGCGGGAGTAACTGTGTGACCACGCAATTCAGTGGTCCTTAGTGCTGGGCTCCTCGGGGATGTTTGATATCTCCAGGGGGTGCCCCTCATCGATTCTGATACGAATGCCACTAAGTTGAGGAATGTTACCAGGGATGACACGTGGCTGCCCTTGGAATGTGAACGTGCGCTTGCACAGATGCGGGGAATCCCAGCAGCATTCGGTTCACCAGTTCTCTGCCATTTTCTGAGTCACAGCCCCCGTGAAAGCCATGCCCCGTCTCCCCCGGGGGAGAGCTGGCCACACCAGCCTGTCATTCCAGCCGATCCGGCCATCCGTGGTGCCCACTCACCGTTAGGACCCAATGTGATAGGAAGCAGAGCGGGTGGGGGCCACCCCAGACCAGGACCCCCACCTTCTCCAGGGGTTGATGGAGGGTTTCACCGTGCTCAGGGCAGAGTCTCTGGGGCACAGCAAGTCCTCTCTCCCGATCCAGAACTGCAGCTGATGAGGACAGGGAGCGGCCTGAGGCAGGGACACAAAAGTGACAGGAAATTATCTCTCCATTGAGGACCTTGCCCCTTGCCCTGAAGGCCGAGCATGTAACTCGGAGGGGCTCAGAGGAGCTGTTCCAGGAGTTGAGGTGGGGCGTTGTAGGTGCATAGAAACGGGATTGGGTCCTTCTCAGAACTGCGTGGCCTTCGCTTGGCTCGCGTCCTGGTCTGTAAAATGGGAGTAATGGCAATACTCTGGGGTCGTGGGCCGCTGGAGGCGGAGGTGAGGCAGGCCCCAGCCCCTCACACCCTCTCTCCACCCCGCCCCTCAGGCCGTGTTTGACTGCGTGGTGAATTCTCTCAAGAACGTCTTCAACATCCTTATCGTCTACATGCTGTTCATGTTCATCTTTGCCGTGGTGGCCGTGCAGCTGTTCAAGGGCAAGTTCTTCCACTGCACCGATGAGTCCAAGGAGTTCGAGAAAGACTGTCGGTAGGTCTCCGCTCTCCGAGGCGTCCCCTTGGGGGCTGGC